GTCTGGGTGACAGAGTGAGACTCCAACTCAAAAATAAATAAATAAATAAATAAATAAAAACATGGTTCTCAAAATAAAAGACATTACCTAATAATTTTATAAGTTGAATTTGTTACATTTTTATATAATAAAACATAACATCAAGGAATTATCTTTAGTTATGATATAATATATTCATACATTGTTACTTGAGGCATTGATTATAATCTGAAAAAGCCTTGCCTACAGGTTCTTGCTAGTCTCATTTTTTAAAAGCATTAGTGTCCCAGAAGCCAAGACAGAAGGATATTAACATATGCCCATTTGCCTAGATTTTAGAATGCATTCCTAGTCATTGCAATGCACACTTCACTAAACAGAGAAAAACCAAGAGTCAGAAAAAATCAGATTAGAAAGTGCTACTGAACAGTCTACTCATTTATTTTAAGAAGAAGGAAGACAGGAAAATTCAGGACCAGAGATCACAAGCTTCCATGTATATTATAGAAAGACACAGTGTCCATACCTTTTTAAACAAATAAAATGCGTGCTAAATCCATGACAATATCATTAAATAAGTTATTTTGTTTGTTTGTTTGGTTTGTTTGAGTCAGAGTTTCATTCTGTCTCCTAGACTGGAATGCAGTGGCACAATCACAGTCACTGCAGCTCAGGCAATCCTTCCACCTCAGCCTTCCAAGTAGCTGGAACTACATGTATGCGCCACCATGCCAGGCTAATATTTTAATTTTGTAAAAAGGAGGTCTTGCCGAGTTTCCCAGGCTGGTCTCAAACCCCTGGGCTCAGGCAATCCTCTTGCCTCCACCTTCCAAAGTGATGAGATTATAGGTTTAAGCCACCACACACGGCCTAAATTCTCTAGAAGTCAAAATTTCTTTCATGTCAGTCAAGAGTTCAGCAAATACAAAAACACTGAAGAGGCAGGTAATATAGCTAAGAGTAAGATTCAACAATTATTTAAAATTCTGCTTTCCTATACCATTAACACAAGCTGAAAGACTGAAAGGATTCTTCTTTATAAAGGACACCCTCAAGCCCTCCAGTACAAAAATGCACTACATTATTTAAATAAAAGAATATACAGTCCTTATAAAAAAAAATTTTGTATTTCAAAGTTTTTTATCTGAGAAGTTCAAGTACTTTTTTCACCCATTAAGTCAAAATAGTTGGAGAGGTATTTTTTTAACCACTATAGTTTTATGAGTTCTGAGAAAAGTCACTCAAAATATTTGAGACTCTAGAACTGTTCTAAAATTTGCAACCTATATAATCAAGCAAGGAACACTAAAAAACAGTCTTTTGTTCTTAGATAGGTAAAAAGACTTTTGACTTTTTCTCTTAATTCTAAAATCTATTTTCCTTCTTTCTTTCTTGGTAACAAACCATTTACAAGAAAACAAAACTAAAATTAAGAGATGAAGAATAGCAATTGAACACACTAAAATTATTCACCAAATTAAGAGATAATTGGGCCAGGCTCAGTGGCTCAGCCTGTAATCCCAGCACTTTGGGAGGCCGAGGTGAGTGGATTGCCTGAGCCCGCGGGTTCGAGACCCGCCTGGGCAACTTGGCGAGACCTCATGTCTACAATAAATCAAAAATTAGCCGGGCGTGGTAGCGCGTGCCTGTAGTTCCAGCTACTTGGAAGACTGAGGCGGAAGGATTGCCGGAGCCCAGCAGGTCGAGGCTGACGTGGCCGGGAGCAGCCACCGCACTCTGGTCTGGGCGACAGAGTGAGACTCCAACTCAAAAAAAAAAAGAGATAATTTACTTGTGAATCTTGAAAACAAATAGTTTATGCATGAGTCTCCTTTGTTATGGAAAAAAAACACAAATGCAGAATGCTAGCTGGGTATGTACTTCTGGGAAATACGTGCAATGACCATGATATAAGAAAAGCCACAAATCTAACTATCACTTGACTCCCTAGGAAGGAATGAAACTTGGCACACAACAGGAACAAACCTGTCTTGCCAGATTTAAGGCTTTAGGGCAAGAAATGCATTTTGAACCATTATAACAATGATAATAACTCTGGCATTCAAAAAGTATTATTGGTAAAAATTCCAATCTCACAAAAATGAGTGTGTCTACATTTAAGCTATTGCTAAGGTTCTTTTCTCAAATTATTCCCCAGGGTATTAAGCTTTACAAGTTTCTTTCTGTGAAAAAACAATAAACAATAAATTTCTAAGTTTCAAGCAGAATTTGAATAGCAACAATGCTGTTCCTAGTTCTCTTTAGAGCCAATAACTCATCTCTACAGTGATTATATAACTATGGTAGAGCTCTACTGAGTTTTATGCTTATCAAGAGTGAACTATGTCCTTTTTTTTTTTTGACTGAAAAATATAGTTTATTTAGAAGTTAGAGAGAAGGTGAGAAGAGGTTCACTTTCCCAAGGTAGGGGAGGGGGCCAAAGCTAGAAAAACATGGTGACCATAACTCAAAGAGCCACATGGCCAGACCAGAATTTAGTAAAGCAATGGGCTACCCTGTCTCTCCTCAACTTACTTACATCAGTAGGCAAAGCATTATAGGTATAGGTTATATAAGGGAAACAAACCACAAAACTTCCATCAGTGAACCCATAAGCCAAGGAAAAGTCTTGGCCATACAACAAAAAAATAGGAGTATATATTCATACACCTTAAACTAAAATATAGTAATTAAGGTAAGTAGGCTATTTATGCTATTTCTTACTTTGCCTTTAAAAACTAACTGCCCTACTATGCCAGTACAGCTGCATTAGGTCTGCAGAAATCTACTGTAATTATAAATTGTTAGAAAGGAAATGAGCAGCAGGACACAGAGAGAGAATAACATGGGGGTGATGTGTCCCCAGAGGATAATGGGATGTCAGACTCAGCAGATAAACAGCTTTGGACAATTTAAAAGCACAAGATTTCAACACACAGATCATGATTTAGAAGTTTTATGGAGACCTAAATGAGTTAGTCCCTGACAGTGACTTTTAAATGCAAATAAACTATAGGAATTTAAAAATGATTAAAACCCAGGTATTACAAATAATAAGTTTCAAGTATATAAAATTATACTAGAATGCTGTTAGTTGTAATTTCTGGAAAAAAAATTTCTTCTATACAGGAACTATTTTAATCTTTTTCCCCAAGTGAGCGAATCTCAGACCTGAGTTCTCTGAGTTGTGACACTAGTAGTTTGAAAACTACTCTCCTAGAAAGGCAGTCCTAGGGCGGGGCTGTGCAAGTGGGTAAGTGAGGAAGACCTCAAAGGCAAGGAGGTCAAACTAGTGCAAAAGTCCAGGTGAGAGATATGACGCTTGGTTTTGGGAAATGGCTATGTATATGGAGAAGAGGGAAGGGACCCAAGAGATATCGAGGAGACAAACATCTTGATGACCAAGCAGATGTGGAGAGTGAGAAGGCACAAAGAGCCTATGCTGACTCTTAGATTTCTATCCTGAGTTACTTACCTACAGCTGTTTTTTTTTGTTTCTGTTTTTTTTTTGAGTTGGAGTCTCACTCTGTCATCCGGGCTGGAGTGCAGTGGCCGCTCCTGGCCACTGCAGCCTCGACCTGCTGGGCTCTGGCGATCCTTCCACCTCAGCCTTCCAGTAGCTGGACCTACAGGCATGAGCT